GTTTGAACTAATTAATTAGCAACACTACAATTTTGTCGGTAATAATAACCTTTTTAGTGACAAAAGATACTATTAACCATAAACAAATTATACTTTTTATGACAAATAAATTTGTTACAAATAATTATTCATTTGGCGACGATTCTTCTTTTTGTAGTTAATATAATACTTTTAGCGACGAAACACTAAATCGTATTTGAATAATTTTAGAGACGCGCATTTAGGGACGACTGCTTGACGAAATTTTTTTCGTCACACAAGATTTTTAGTAACGAAATATGATTTATTAATGACAAAATTATTTGTCCTTGATAATCACATTTGTTGTAGTGAGAGTTCAGATTCTGAATCGATTGTCGAGCTCAGATGTCGGGATTAGATCCCTATTTGAAAGTTGGGTGTTGATGTCAAATCTCAATTAGAAGTCGAGTACCGAATAGATGTCGAAGTTAGGTCCCAGTTTGAAAGTCGGGTACTAGGTCGGGAATGAGGGTCGAATCTCGAGTCGGAGCGTGATGGAGAAGGACTTACCTTGATGATAGAGGATAAGATGAGGAGAGAAAACTATTTCTAAGACTTGAAAGAATGACCAAAAGTGAGAAAAATCATAGTACTAAAGTTGACTTAAAATGTTTCCCATCGGCCCACATGCATTTCGTAGGTGCGGATCCGCTGAATGCAGGCGAAACACAGTCAAAACGAAATATCACTTAGTTTTCCCCATCTGCGTCCCACATGCATTTCGCAGGTACGAATATGCTTAATGCAGGCGAAATGCATGTCAAAATAGAATGTCCGACAAAATCAAAATGATCATAACTTTTGATTAGGACCCCATATTGATAAGCGATCAGTGACATTGGAAATAAGACTAAAAGATCTTTCATTTGATGGGTAGTGGGACTTATAACTCTTCATATTTAAAGAGAATATCTCTCGTTTCAAGTTGACTCAAGTAATAACATACATTGAAACTCAATCAATAAATAAGCTTTCAACTCAACATTGTGCTAGAGGATTCTTATGACTTTAATTCATCTCCAAAGTACCTTCCACACTTAGAAATTGATCTTAATTGCATAATTAGGAATCACCCGATATGGTACATAAATGATTCAAATCTTAGCTTAAATTTTTTTGGAGTGTTACAAAATTAGATATATAAATTTATTTATTTTTCACGTATTTTTTGAAATATGTGCAAGGAATATGCACTTTAATATAATCATTTTATGTGTGCATTTAAAACATTTTGCAAAGTATGTACACTTGAACTTCTAATTTTTTTAATAAATATTTCTCCTAATGAAACTGTCTATAAAAATATTGTTCGAGGTTATCTATTAAGAATTTATGCATATAAGATGTTGATGTTTGTAATTATTTTTGGGATTTTAGTGTGGCAAACTCGCCCTTAATTTTTTTTTTCTATAAAAAAAATTCGTCACGCCATTGTTGTTATAGACATAAACGGAGGAGCAAATTTTATATATTACAATAATATATGTCTTTTATTGATCACCTATAGAATACTTTTATGTGAGGATAAATTGTTTCCACATACATTAGCCTCTTTGAATTAAATACATTGATCTAATTTATTTATTTTTTGAATTTTTTAAGTATGTGCAAAGAATATGCACTTTAATACGATCATGCTATGTGTGTGTATTTTAAATAATTTTGCAAAGCATGTGCACTAAAATATATATTTTAAAAATAAAATTTCTTTTAATTTTTTTGATAGATATTTTGTCTTAATTAAGACAAAATTATTTGAACTTTGTTTAAAATGGGTTTTTTTTTTTAATCAAGTCTTGTTGAAAGTAAATTCTTCATCAATCAACTTCATCGATTCTACAACCATTACAACTGAAATTAATAAACGCTCTTAATGAAATTGTCTATGAACATATATTTTAGGCTATGAGTTAAGAATTTATGCATCTGATGTTACAACACATTTTAACTTGGTCAAAGCATGATATAGGACATCTAAATATTTAATTAAGATAATGCTAAAATTAACTCCGATTACTATTCTACTTAACTTATGTAATTCTAGGTAAATGTTCTAGTTATTATTAAAAAATGAAATTTAGCTTCCTTTAAGATGCTAAACTACAATCAACCGACCAAACTTACGCTAATAAAAATAGACTTGATTATATTAAAAAGTGTTGAAACTATTTCAATAAATTCTAAAAGAAAACAAGTCGTAAAACAAGCAATAATGTGCTGAACTACTATGTAAATTAACTAAAGTACCTATTTATAAATAGCGAAAATCAAAATTAAAAATTATTTTTTTACCATTTTGACAAAAAAAATCAATAAAAAGTACCTATTTATACATGAATTGTTCGAGAAAAAAAGTAAAAAAAATACATAAAAAATTCAATCTCAGTTTAAATTTCACATGTGTAGTACATGTATAATTCTGTATAAACTTGTATATAGAATGTGTAATATATATACCAGAATATTAACAAGAAGAAGAATAACACGAACAAGAAAAAAGTGTGAAACTTTCATGGATGCCTCTTACATATTATTGACAATGGGAAATATATATACATTCTCATACACTGAAGAAATATAATTATACAACATTTATACATAAATATACACACTTATACATTGATATACAAAAATTGATTCTTGTCCCTTTCACAATTTAACTCGCAAAATATCATCTGATGAGGGTCTAATATATCAAATAATGAATCTCAAACTTTAGTACAAGCTTCAGCCGAACAGTTTCACCAATAGAAGAAACATAAGAAAATTCAAATGAAATAGAAGAGGGAGAAGAAGAAAATCTACAAGAAAAAGTGTAACGACTCGAGACTACCCATAGTCGTAATAACGGTATCTAGAACCACAAGTGACCCCAAGCTAACTTCATGGTCTGACATGACACTAAGAATCAACAATAATAAGCAACATAAGAAAGTAACAGAGGGAAAAACGGAAGCTCATTGAAATATCTTTATTAATACGCACATACTGAATGAGAAAATATCTAATAAATAACCAATAGTTGATACTACATCTAAGTATTTAAAAGCCTCTACAAGTATAAGTTGCTAGGACAAGCCCCTAGTTAACTCCAACTACCTAAAACTGAAATAAATTGTAGTGAAAGAAAGATAAAGATCGTCCTCGAAGAATGATGACCCACTAATGTACTATTGTGCTGATAAAAAATTGTACTAATCGCGATCCGAATGTTGAACGTCTTAATCTATATTATCAAACAACATATGCAGAAAGTATGCGGTCAATATTTTGAATGTACTCTGTAGGTAAGATAATGCATGATAGCATGATACTGAACGTGATAAATCAATACTAGTATACTTAGGGTTCATAAGAATATCATTTGAAACATGAAATTCATAAGCAAGACATGTAATTAAAGACTAATCATGAAGAATAACTGAATTGCAATAAGAACCCTGAAAATCATAGAAGCCCTAGGTTTGGAGAATTCAGAAATCTTAAAATCTAAGGTTTCTTCGGGACTCAATGGGTGAAGGGATACCTACTGATGAAATCCCACATACCTAGAATAAAGAACGATACATTATGAAAACTTAAAGCTTGGAACCCTAGCTTGCTTGAGAGGAGACTTGAGAGAGAAGAAACTTAGTTTGGGAATTTGAGCGTGAAAGTGAGGGTCTAAGTTCCAAAGAATTCCTTAATCCCACTTAAAATAGTTAAAAACGACATAGTGTAGGAGTTAAAAGATTGAGAAAAACCAAAATATTTCTGAATTAAAAACTCTGAAGGCCATCTACGGCCGCCTCTTACGGTTCATAGATCACTCTACGGTTGATGGAAGTATCCATAAATGGAAAGATTTCTTGGGTTCTGAGGTCATATCTATAGACCCTTCTACGGTCCGTAGATCACTCTACGGGTCTGTCAAAGTGCCCGTAGAAGCAGAGTTGAACAGAGTTGTTGAGGTTCTGATCTACGGATCAATCTACGACCGGTAAAGGTTTTGACCACCCATAGATATGTTTGTGAAAGCACAGATTGATTTATGATTTCTCTGAACTTTCTCGATCTGATTTGGTCTTAAGAACTTTTGGGGTGTTACAAAAAGGAAAATAATTAGAGATGCCCTTTTAGTATAAAAGTTGAAGTAATTACTTAAAAACACACTTAACTTATATGTATATTGCCAAAATTGGTCAATTTTTTTAAACTTTATCAAATATAATCACTAACCTCTCTTTTCCCGGCACAACCAAAACTCGCTTTTCCTCTCCTAGCATATCTTCATTCTCTTTCTTTTTCATCCTCTTTTCTCTCTAATTCATGTATCCATCTCAAATTCAAGTGGCCTAATATTCGTCACTTTCGGGATACATACGCTTGCCATAATCTCTATTGGAAGACACATTTTCATTGGCAAACAATCACACATCAAGATTTAACAACAACAACAACAACAACAATTTTCATGTCTACCTCAAATTCAATGCCCCCATAATTTGTCGCTCCCCGAAACACTTTATGATTGTGCATATAAGAAATTCCACCATCAGAGATCCACTTCCATCGATAAACGATCAGTTGCCGACTTTCAACAACAACAACAAGTGCAATAAGATTTGAAATTTTTTCTTCGTGACGTAAAACCATATAGTTATCTTAATCAAATCTGATCGAAAAACTCATTTCTTTTCTTCTGAAAATTCATGAAAACAAGATGTATGAAATTAATTTGATGCTTGATGTGCAATTCAGAAACTTGCATGGCTAATATACATATATAAGTTATAAAAAAAATTCATATATCAAATAAAAGATTGTAATATATAAATTTTATCGTAACTAGTTTACGCTAACCAACTACCAAACGACACTCTTAATATTGCATAGTGGGGGGTTAGAGCTTTTCCCACTTTCTTGAAACTTTAATTTGGTTAGGTCGTATGAAATATATTTTAGAAACCTAAAAAAAAAAGCAAATGGGCTTTTTATTAAGGAAATGGCGCCGTCCTCCAATGAGCAATGACCTCAAGTAGGGGTACACCCCCACATGATTCATGACACATTTTTTAGCAAACAACGTTAGATTTAGCAATTATCAAGGAAGCCACCACACGAGCAAACATAATTTCATATTTTTTTCTATAGTAAAAGTATTAATCCCTCATTCTTGATTTTCCCCTTTTTCTCAAATATCAAATCTACAATCTTTTTATTTTTCTTGTAAAAATCGATTCTTGAAAGAAAAAAACAAAAAAAAAAAGACACCCCCTTTTCTTGTTTTTCCCCCTTTCCCCTTTCCCTTTTTGTTGTTTGGTTTGTTTTGGATTGTGGGTGTTTTTCTTCTAGTGTTTGTTGTGGAGAAAGAAAACAAAAAGGGGTCTCAAAGAAATGGCACAAAATGAGCATCAGCAGCAGCAGCAGCAGCAGCAAGGGTTAATAGAGCCTGCTGTTCTTGATGATATTATCAATAGGCTTTTGGAGTTTAGGAATGCAAGAACTGTTAGGCAGGTTCAGATTTCTGAAGCTGAGATCCGTTCCCTTTGTAGTGCTTCAAGGGAAATCTTCCTTCAACAACCTAATCTCCTTGAACTTGAAGCACCCATCAAGATCTGTGGTAAAATCCTTGTTCCCCATCTTTTTGTTGACCACAAATAGCTTGATTTATCATCTTATCATGTTTTTAAGGCATGAAGAATTGATTTTGTTTTTGATATATCTTTTGTTATTATGATTAAACCTGTTATTGTTGGTGGGAGGCAGTGGTGGATCCAGGATTTTACGTCTATGGGTGCTAATGATTTTTACATAAACTTGTATGAGCATAATTGCAAGCTAAAAGTTCATCAAAAGAAAATGGGAGGAGAAGTTGTTTGGATTGGTTCAAGAGAAATAAAAAGGAGAGGCAATATACCTTCACATATGATAGTAATCAAAAAGGGAAACCAGGGAGGAGGGTATTTTTGCTGTTGAGTAGGAGAACTGAAATGAAGGCTCAATGTTTTGAAACTAGTACAAATGATTTTTTCCCTTTCCTTTTCATTTTTCCTAAATAGATTAATGAGAAAGAAAGAGTAAAAAAAAATTAAATGGAGAAGTCAGCAAAGAATGAGTAAACTATAAAACAAGATGGACGAATGTTAGAAAAACAAAATAAGAGAGTGAAGTGAAACATAAGAAAAATAATCAGCTAAGTTTAAAAGAGTGCTTTAACGGAGGTTCGATCTCACATGCCTTCCCAAAATATCACTTAAAAGAGCTTTGCTTTCTGCCTTTAAACCAGAGCACCCATCAGGCTTTTGTTCCATCGGTGCTCGCTGTTGTTTATATAGCAATTTTTTTTAAAACTTAAATATATATAGTTCGAGCAGAACGTGGGTCTGCTCCTGGTGGGAGGTGACAAGTATTTGTGGAATTAGTGGAGGTGTGCGAAAGTTTGGTTCGCCTAGATACCATGACTATCAATATAAAGTTATCATAAAGATGACAACTTTTCTCATAAATTTGGAAATTAATCTGATCCCTGATTTAGGAAGGGATGGTGAGTGAGGTTTTATGAGGTAGGTAAGATGTATATTTGTTTGATCGAATTTGTATAAGCCTCAATCTGTAATTAGTTGCGGTCAACTATATGAATCCTCAGTATTTGTTTCGTGTTGTTTGCTCAGTATTAGATTAATGAGAAAGAAAGAGTGAAAAAAATTAAATGGAGCAGTCAGCAAAAAAAAAAGGAAGAATGTTAGAAAAACAAAACAAAATAAGAGAGTATAACATAAGAAAAATAATCAGCTAAGTTTAAAAGAGTGCGTTCGATCTTACATGCCTTCCCAAATATGACTTAAAAGAGCTTTGATTTCTGCCTCAAAACCAGAGCACCCATTTAGGCTTTTGTTCCATGGGTGCTCACCATTGTTTATATAGCAATTTTGGTATTTTTCTGCTGAAATATTTATTGTTTGAGCAGAATGTGGGTCCGCCCCCGGTGGGAGGCGACAAGTATCTGTGGAATTAGTGGAGATGTGCGGAAGTTCGGTTCGCCCAGATACCTAGGTTATCAATAAAAAGTTGTCATAAAGATGATAACTTTTCTGATAAATTTGGAAATTAATCTGATCCCTAATTAAGGAGGAGATGGGTGGGTGAGGTTTTATGAGGTAGGTAAGATGTATACTTGTTTGGTCGAATTTGTATATGCCTCAATCTGTAATTAGTTGCAGTCAACTATATGAATCCTCAGTATTTGTTTCGCTTGTTTGCTCACGTTTTATTCCGGTACTCATAAAAGACAAAGTAGGGCTTCTTTATATTTTCTACTGATTTGGAAGGAATAGGTTGGTGGGGTTTTATGAGGTAGGTAACATGTATATTTTGTTTCGTTGGATTTGTATATGCCTCAACTATAATTAGTTGCGGTCAGCTATATGAATCCCCAGTATTTGCTTCACGTTGTTTGCACACTATTCATTCCGGTACTCACAAAGACAAATTAGGGCTTCTTTATATTTTCTACCGATTTGGAAGGGATGGTGGGTGAGGTTTTATGAGGTAGGTAATGTGTATATTTTGGTTCGTCGAATTTGTATATGCCTCAGTTTGTAATTAGTTGTGGTCAGCTATATGAATCCTCAGAATTTGTTTCACGTTGTTTGCACACGTTTCATTCTGGTACTCGTAAAAGACAAATTAAGGCTTCTTTATATTTTCCACTTAAATACAGATGTCTAGTTGCTCTAGTTTATCAAATAGTAAAATGTTTTATGCAGCTTTTTAAAGTTTAATTATGCACAACTTGCTCACTCGTCTTATATAGCATGTATGAGGTAGGGTAACATCAGCTTTTTAAAGTTTAATTATGCACAACTTGCTCACTCGTCTTATATAGCATGTATGAGGTAGGGTAACATGTAAAGTTGTTTGTTCTAATATATCCAATAACAACTATGGTTCGATCCCAAATTAGTTGGGGTTAGCTATATGAATCCTCAATATCTATTCTGCTTCATTTGGACCCTTTTGATTCCATGATTGGTCTTTAAAGGCAAATTAGGGCTTCTCAATATTTTCTACTGAAATACAAATCTCTACTTGGTCTAGTTTATCTATGACGTTTTTGGAGCTTCTTTAAACTTGATTGTGAACTTGCCCACTCATTTACATTTCAGTTGATTGCGTTATGTGCATTCGTGGCTTTTGGTTTCATTTTTTTTTCTTAATGTAAAATGTAGAATGTTAATATTAGGATGAGGAGTTCTTTATCAAAAAAATATTAGGGTGAGGAGTTGAATATCATATGTGCTTTGTCTCTGTACCAGCTTGGTACTGCACTTCTATTAATAAAATTTACCATTATTCATTTTAAAAAAAATGATAACCGGTATCGTTCTTTCAATGTTCGGGTTATAAAATCGCTGTACTGGTTATATTTTGGCATTATGGCTACTAAAATTTTTGGAAAGGGAGGAAGGAGGTAATAAATTCTTTCATTGTCATCGTTATTGTCTTGTCTATCTTGAAAACAGTGGAACTTCAATGGTGTACATGATATCTTTATTTTATCTGCCTTATATAGTCATTGCGATGTACTGTGCTTCATTCAAATATTGTATCGTCATGATTATGCTATATCACGAAGTGAGTTTATTTTATGATAGGTTGCTTTCCCCCATTAATAACATTTTGCTTTCATTGTTTTGTATTTTGGTTCTTTTTATTGTTTCTTTCTTAGCCAGTGCATGGGATTATTCATATTAAACAATATTGGACTGATAAATTTGTCTCGTTTCCCCTCTCTTTGTTTTTTTGTCTGGATTCTAGGTGACATTCATGGCCAGTATGGTGATCTTTTGAGGCTTTTTGAATATGGGGGATTTCCTCCTGAGGCTAACTATTTGTTTTTAGGGGACTATGTGGACCGTGGTAAACAGAGTTTGGAAACAATATGCCTTCTGCTTGCATACAAAATTAAATATCCTGAAAACTTCTTTCTCTTGAGAGGAAATCATGAATGTGCTTCTATTAATCGGATTTATGGTTTCTATGATGAATGTAAGCGCCGATTCAACGTGAAGCTATGGAAATGCTTCACAGAATGTTTCAATTGTCTTCCCGTTGCTGCTCTCATAGATGAGAAAATACTGTGCATGCATGGTGGTCTTTCTCCAGATCTAACAAACTTAGATCAGATAAGAAATTTACCTCGTCCAACTGATGTTCCAGATTCTGGGTTGCTGTGTGATTTACTTTGGTCAGATCCTAGCCGGGAAGTTAAAGGTTGGGAATGAATGATAGGGGAGTTTCATATACTTTTGGTCCTGATAAGGTTGCAGAATTCTTGATGCAACACGATATGGACCTTGTTTGTCGTGCCCACCAGGTATTTATACGATTTTTCTTCTTTTTTGTGTTCCCTTTATGGTTTTTATATTGACCAGAATATTCTCAACCTAGGTTGTTGAAGATGGTTATGAATTTTTTGCTGAGAGGCAGCTAGTGACAATATTTTCGGCCCCAAACTACTGTGGTGAATTTGATAATGCTGGGGCAATGATGAGTGTTGATGAAAGTTTAATGTGCTCGTTCCAGATACTGAAGCCAACAGATAGAAAACCTCGGTTTTTATGAGGCAAAAATCGATAGCTTTTATCTATGCGCTCTCAGAGCACCTAAGGTTAGTAGCTTGATACAATCTTATTTCCCTTTATATATGCAACACTTGTGCTGTTTCCATGATAGAATGAGCAGCCTGTCTTAGAAATGTCTCATTTTTGTCATTGGTTAATTTCATGATATTGAAGTGAAAGTGTCTTTGGCTTGTCATTTTCCTAGTCTCAAAATATTTTGCCTGATAAGGTAAGATGTTAAACAGTATCAAACTGATACTGCGAAAGTACTGAGATAATGCTGGCTTGATTACATTAAAAGCCTTAGCAGTCTAGCTTGCATGTGCACCATTTTATTTGAATTCATAACAACGTTTCCATCTTTCCAATAGTTCAAGTAATGCAAACAGCTATATTTCAAACCTGCTCCTTTTTTGCTTTCAGAACACCTCTTATTTCTTTCTTTCCAAATTGTCCAAACTATGCTAAGAGGAATAACTCTCCAGATCTTCTTTAGGGGTGCTTCTGTGAGCTATGAACTTGCCATATAGTCCAATAGATGCCACAGTTAACTATGAACCTGGTCTACACTTGCCAAGTAAATTCACAATGCACAGAAATATGATCCATAGATTCACAAGATTTGTCACACAAGTAGCATCTGCTGCACATTATCCAACCCCTTCTCATCAAGTTTTCTTGAGTTAGACATGCTTCATGAGATAATAGTCAACCAGAATACGGAACTTTTGTTGAGACTTTAGTTGTACATTCTAAGGCCACTTTTGTGATTGCACTGGCTGAATAGCATTGATTTTTTATAGAATGAGCTGACAATAAAAGAACATTTACTAGCTTTCCAGAGTAGGCCGTCTTCTTTTTCTGGCAACAACACTACTGATTGCATCTTCTGAATGAATAAATACAACTTCCTGCATTTTCCTGTCAAAGAGATTCCTTCTGAACTGGATGTCTATATAAGTTAAAATTCTAGCTAAGAGGGCTTCAGGATTATATGCCAGTCTGTACAGATTGGAAAATTGATTTTTCTGCAAACCAAACCCATTGCAATTATCTTCCCAAAGTCTGATTGTGTCATTGCCTACCCTCAAGACGACATACATGTTGAATTCCCCCTAGATCTGTCTCTAAACAGCCACTCCATATGGAGTCTTCACTGCTTTAGGTTCCCATCAACCCTCTCTTCCATAAATCACCTCTACCACTGCTTTCCAGATAACTTTTCCCATCATTTAACCTCCATAGCTATTTACATAGCAAGCTCTGATTGTAACCTCCATCCTTCTGATTTTTGTCTCAATGGACACTTTACTAGATGAAATTTCCTTGTTTCTGGATTACCTTCTCATAGGAAGTGCCTTTGTGTTTTTGTGGATCCTTCTCCACACTAGCTGGTGTAGGGATTAGAGACATTAGATAGGTTGGGATGCCATCAAGAATACTATATAGTAATGTCAAAATATAATCACTTTAAAGGTGTAATTGCTGTACATTAGTTTTTCACGCTCCCATTCTGCCTGGTTTACTTTGGTCATTTAGTCTGTCCCACTAGGGCTGAATAATTTTGTTCAATTTGAAAAGATACAATCTTTAAAGTTGAGCAAACATTTAAAAATATTGCTTTACGTTATTTTGAATTTTGTTTATTGTTCTACCCTTTTCATGTCTTTCAAAAATTATTTTAGCATATAACCAGGCCTAAATACAAAACTGATTCTTACCAATCAAGGCAGGTCCCTTAATATGGCACAGAAGTACTTTTCCATCAAGACCGATAAAAGGTCACTAGATGGTTCACTTCTAGATTGGTTTCCCTTCTCACTTATCCCGAAATTCCCACCTTTTCTCTCCCATGACTCCATAACTAAGCTTCAGGAAAAGAGTATGGTGTTATATGGTTCAGCTACTTCTTATCCTCTTCTCAAGTTCAATATGATCCAAAGAAAAATGGTGGGGTAAATAGTCCTTGGTGCTTGTTCTAAAAGCACACATTATCTTGTGTTTAGATTCTTTGAAGAAAGATTAGCAATGATGTTATTTTGTATTCTGTCCTTCATATGCAATTCGGTCATTGGCTAATTTTAAATATGTTTAAAGCTTTTCTTCCTTATCCTTTTATTCTTTCCCTAAAATTCAACAAAATAAGCAAACTTCTTTTTCTCCTACTTCTCCTATCCCTCTGTTGCTCTCTCTTTCTCCAATCTAATGGAATGTTAGAGCCTCTTTGTTAGTGAAAAGGAACTTCCATGTCCTTTTCCAGTTGCATCTTAATTAGTGAATTTGCTTAGAAACAGAACACTATTTTCCCATGAGGAGCAAGACATTCACTTCCACGTAGCATTGTTGGTCTTATAACTGGGGATGTCTTGTACTTTAATGGCTCAACATTCACTTCCATATAACATTGTTGGTCTTATAACTATTCTATAGAACTTACCTTTCACTTCGCTACACATTGTTCTATCACATAACACTGGTACCACTTCTCAATTTCAACCATTCGATTTTGATTCTCTGTGTAACATCTTTTTATTTTGTTCTCTGGAACTACGAACATAAAATCCTGACACTCTACTCGGGTTGGAAATGATGCACCATGACTAGTTACTGTTGCTAGGATTTTATCCTTCAAAACTCATAACTGTACATCAAAATAAAGTCTCTTGCATAACACTTCGAAATGAAGATATTCTCGGTCCTTGAAATGAGCTAGGTATTGCAAATCTCGGAGTTATTATCAACATATTTGAGGCTTTTAGAAGGCTATGTCAGTTGACGTGGAGAGTAGTGACACCCAAAATGGTTGTCTATGAGATGAATGGTACCGAAACAATCATGGAAGATATACGAAATGCTTGAATAATCGTTAGAAGGTAGCAATGCTTGAGCGGTTGTGAGAAAGAGGAGTGACATTGATGATTAGAGAGGGGGGCGACACCAGACACCAAAAGAAAGAGAACTAGAAAATATTGTTTGAGAGGGCAACCAACTTTGTTCTTGCAAGAGGCATAATGCCACTCACTAGAAGTAGAAACTATCTGAGTTCGACGAAGATTATAGAGATTCTGATACCATATATAAGGAATTAGAAGACAACTTTTTCCTGACTTGATTAACTCACAATGTACAAGATTACCTCCTTATAGAGGAAGTTTTAGGTGATGTATGATATGGTGGGCAATCATTTTGTCTACAAATAAGCTAAGTTAATATTTTATAATCAAATGCAAAATATCCTCAGATATGGTAAAGAGTACTCTATATGATTTTACTTATTCAAGTGTAATGAATCTAGACACGTATTTTGTTATATTGGTGATATGGTAAGAAAATGTACTTTGTGCTTAACTCAATGTCAAGAGGTAGTTCATGAAGTTGGGTTTGTTTAAAGTTCATACAAGTAGACACCAAATAGCAGTTCATGGGACATTCTTACCATCCCTATCCATGGCCAAGGTTGGAACATTTTGTGTGTGGACAACATAACATGACAGTCAACATTAGGTAAACTAAGAAAAGGAATGGTTCTACTCTGTTACCATGTTTAAAAAATGAATATTGGCTAAGCTAGCTCTTGGAGTGTGGATTATCTACAGACCATATAAGGAGACAACTTCTTTTCTCCATCAATATGAGATTTTTTAACACCCTCGCGTGCCTACCATGTTCAAGAATAGTTGCCATAATTGTCTAATAACAGGACAAGGAATGAACAAGTGACTAGGATTTTCCCTAGCAGCTCTGCACAAAAAGCATCTAGAACATTGTTGGAATTCCCTTTGAAGTTTATCCAGTGTGAGGCAAGCCTAATCAGAATGTTATAAGCTGAGTTTACAGAATAAGTTCCTTTTCCAGCTCCCAATCATGCAGTAGCGTTCTAAAAGTAATATTCCATCCGTGTACTCCTTTTGCTGATTCCAGATTAATGTCTGGCATAGTGGCAATGCTAAAGAATTCAGGGAAGAGTTCCTTTAGAGGTCCATGCCCAAGCCAATTATCACACCAAAAACGAACTTTCCTTCATTGCCCACTCTTAAACTAATATTTCCAGCCATCAAAGACCAGAGGGATCTGATTGCTTTCCAGACTCCTACACCATGGGGGCTCACAACCACCTTTGAACATCACTGATCATCTTGACCATACTTGTCATGAATGACATTTCTCCATAAAGCATATGGTTCAAGATTATACCTCCATAACCACTTCATTAGTAAGCTTTGGTTGTCAGTATTTAGGTTCCTGATGCCAAGGCCACCATCTTTTTTGGATTCGATAAGAACATCCCAATTAACCAGGTGGAATGCTCTTTTTTCATTGTTGCCTTGCCATATGAAACTCCTGCTGATCTTGTCAATTCTTTTCCTTACCTTGCTAAGTAAAGGAAAAAGAGACATGACATAAGTAGGAAGGCATCCAAAACACTATTGACTAGTATGACCCTACCCACCTAGAGATAAGTATTATCATCTAAGAGACTTAAGACATATGAGCCGTGTAGGAAAAAATAAACTAAGACCATATAAGAAAACAACACATTCCCTCAACTAATTTAGGAGGAACCTAGGGAGTCCTGAAACATCTAAATACCGAAGGATTTTGTAATAGTTGAAACTTTACACTCACATAAAAGAACAACAAAATGAAACCACAAAGCTGCAACATGGTACTAGCTAAAACATTGGGGAAGTCTTTGTAATTAGTCCCAATTTTCGGTTTGAATGGTCTTCATATTTATTGACCACTGTTGGCATCAAATATGGGGTACTTCTTTATACTGAAATATAATGATTCTCCTTTTCTCTAAATTGGTTGTCTGCAGTTCTATCATCTGTTTAAGCAGTCCCATAATGTTATCATTTTTCAAGTGTTTTGTGAAGTTGACTTCCGAAGGGCAACAAAGGTCGTCTCTTTTTCCTTTTTTCTTTCTTTTGTTCAGATTTCCCCTTTTCGACCTTTGCCTTTTTCTAGTGAAATTGGTGAGCTCAGCCCCGTGAACTAGCAGCATCAAGCAGTTTAACAACGAAGTGAATACTTCTGGTAGGTGGTAGCACCATTACCAGTTATCTGTACTGTGAACCAGTGGGTCGATCTCCAATTTTCGCAAAATTTTGAATTGTCTTATTTAACATTTGATATCGTCTTCTTAACGTTAATGTATTTTGCTTCTGCTGTTCAAGTTATTCCCAATCTGTTAGCTTTCTTTCCTCTTTTTTGATAATCGATAAATCATCAGAAGCCAATGGCGCATGGTTCGAAACTAGGTGGATAATTGACCTGTCCCTCTATCCCTCTCAAACTAAAATACCGGATTCTTCCATCTACTTCAGAGTTTGATCTTGTGATTGTGTGGAACTTGCACATTACACGTTACTCTCTTACCACTAGACCAAAGCCTTTGGGGGCAGTTTATTTGACTGACTTTTTCTTTTAGCAAGGATGCGGATTGTGTTCTATTTGATAAATAAGGATGCAGATGAAGATCTTACTACCAGCAAAAATCTTATGCTTCCATATTTTGCTTCCAACATTTCTTGTTTCTTTATGGGATGAATAGTGGACCTGAAAACATTATGGAATTGACCATAGTACTTGTGCATGTGGTATTTAGGGAAAAGTTATCTGAAAAGCTATGTTTCTGCGACCAGTTATGCTAAAACTTCAGCTTTTGCATCGTTTTGCATTATGCATCTTGAACAGATAGTTTGTTTTTCTTTAGTTAGTCTTTAAAAAGTTTATCTTGTATGCAGAAATTCTTATGGCTGGCAAAGAGCAGTTGAAGATGAAGACAACTTCTGGGATGTACATCGTACGAGTATGTTTTAGAACGGAGAGGAGCTAGTTGTTGGTTAAAAAAGCCTTCTCTTCCAAGCTTAAAAATCGAGGACCTAACTGTAGTTTTGAGGTGGCCTCAAGGCCACATACTCTTTTTCATTTTAAATCTGTCTTTTCATATTTTACTTAATTTCATGCAATTTATGAATTAAAACCGTCTAAATCGGTATGTAAATTGCGGTGCAGATATGTAGATTGTTGATACTAAAAAATTGCTCAGTTGCAGCAACTTCCTGAATTGGATGGTAGTTTCTCTGTGAGTCTTAATGATTTGCTACTGGTTCTTAATGACTATCTGGTGTTGAAGATTATTAGATTCGTTCTGCAGTTGGGGACGTAGTGATTCGGTAAATGTATTTGGTGGGAGGTAGCAGTAGCACATATAGTCGAGGTGTGTATAAGATAGTTTAGACACCACTCATAACAAAAGAGAGATATATAGTATGATTGGGAGCTTTCATCCCATCAAGCTCTTTGGGGTGACCGCAGTTAGGTGTATGAGAAGAAATTATCTAACTCTTTTTGTCTACATGGGGGAGTTGCATTCTTTTCTTTAGCGATTTTCATCCACTTCATTGATAGTTTGGATGTAGCAATATTGTGGTTTTGTTAAATTTTTGAGTAAATATTTCGTTATGATACGTACCTTACTATTTAATGGGATATTGTGCACAAATAATCGATAGCTTGTTCAAAAGACCTTTGTTACCTTTTTCACTCTTGTCATAGCCCTTTTCCTAGCTTTAGAGCCACAAATATGTAACAATATAAATTTCTTCCTTAATCAGATATGTTTGAGTCTTTGAAAAGGGAAAACAAATCTTTAAGAATTGTTGTCCTCATTTCGAATTTAATGGGTGTTTGGATTGACTTAAAAGTTTGTCAAACTTACTTTCAAGTCAGTTTATAACTTCTGAAAGTGTTTGACAAATATATAAAATAACTTAAAATAAGTTAGGAAGTGATTGATAAAGTAAAAAATGACTTAAAATAAGTCAAAAATCAAAAGGTAGGTCTCCTTTTACTTTAGATTTCAGTTTGATTTTTTTATTTTTGACTTAAAAAATACTTTTTTTAAGTCAATCCAAATGGACCGCCCCTATTACACTGTCATACATAGATATACAAGTTTGTGTAAAAGACTAAAATCAATTATATTCTTGTCCAACTCAATAAAATCACCAAATAAGGATGTAATCATAATCTTATCTAGTTTTTTAAGAAACGTTAAATCTAAAATGATGATATATAAATAAAAATCGGAAAGTGCAATTTTACATAGAATACATTTTACTTCCTCATTACCTAGGTATAACCAAACTCTCCCACCCTTTTCTGAGCTGAGGTGATTACTGCCTTATGAGAAAACAAAAATTAGATATTTCACTAGATGCTCCATGACATTGATAATGATACAAAAGAAAAAATAGAGTTGGGATCATATTGATTTTTCTTTTTTTTTTTTAAAGAAGAGAAATAATATATTTATTTGAAAAAAGGTATTTTGACTCAATAAATAATAATAATGATATTTATGGATTAAACTATTGACAGTAATGACATTTTTACATCAAATTATTAACTGAAGATTATTTTATTCAATTTCGCATAGTTCAAAAATATTTTAAACTATTTTTCATATTTAAATAAAGGATATTTTACCGAATTCCACTAGTTTAGGAGATAATTACTTAGATATACGCTAGTTTGCAATATTTCGAATCATAACAGATTCTGGCGCGTCCAAATACGTTCAGATTTAATTGCGTGATTTAAATTATGAAAAAAATACCTAATTTAAATTAGGAAAAAATACCTAATTTAATTGCGTGATTTAAATTAGGAAAAAAATACCTAATTTAGGAGCTAAATTAGGAAATAATTACCTAAAATTTTTAGGAAATAAACTTTGGTGTATAAAATAGGTTATTTTTGGTCTAATTGTTGACATACCCGGCCGGCCCAATATAAATCTCTGTCCGTTCTTCATAAGCTTCACTTTGTTCAACTCCGATCAACAAACGTAGCTTCTTCTTCTTCCTCAAACATGTTTTTCCACATAGTATTGGAGAGAAACATGCAGCTTCATCCTCGTCACTTTGGTCGTGATCTTCGTGAAAAACTTGTTTCAAAACTAATGAAAGATGTAGAAGGAACTTGCAGGTTTCATTCATAAAACCCTAATTTTCGTTTTTTTATTTTCTTTTTCTGGTTGATTTAATGTTGTTAAAATATGGATTTTGGGTTTTTTTTTTTTGCAGTGGTCGACATGGTTTTATAGTGGCGATTACTGGGATTGAAAGTGTTGGAAAAGGATTAATTCGTGATGGAACTGGTTTTGTTACTTTCCCAGTGAAGTATCAATGTGTTGTATTTCGACCCTTCAAAGGTGAGATTTTGGAGGCTGTTGTCACCATGGTTAACAAGGTAAGGTTTTTTCTTTCCCCTTAATTTGCATTACTGTTACCTTCTGTGTGTTCGCTAGATCAAGTAATTACACAGAATTCAACTGAATTTCGCTAATTAAGTAGTTGAATATCTCGAAAATTTGGTATCCAAATCTTTTTACAGTGGTTGGAGGTGGATTAGCAGTAATCTTCTGAAAAAACAAACTTTAAATTTGCCTCCAACGAAAATTTACTTTCTCTTCTTTGTAGGAAATTCGGGTTTTAAAAAAAGAGGTTCTGATAAAAAACAGGTGGTTAATAAACCTGCTAATTCAGCTGAAAATATATGTAAGAAAGGGGAGAATTTAGAGAATAAGAGAGATCGAGAAGGAAAGAAATAGAAAGGAAGATTCAATGGGTTTGAGTAGAGAATGAATTGAATAGTCGAGTCCAACTAGTTTGAGATTGAGATTTAGATTGATTGATAGGCATATAGACTTTTTTTTTTATGATTGATAGGTTGATCTATAGATACTTATACTTTATAATAGAAGTAACCGATGAACTGACACATCAAAAGAGACTTTTCGAAGCGCGGAATCCCAGAATGGAATCATTGCAGAAGAAAGGTTGATCTAAGAGAACACGTGGTTTCTAGGAAAATAAGAACTGCATTGCCTACCAAACATAGTATTTTCAAGCCATAGAACTGGTCTTTTTTTTTAGGATACCATTACCAGTATCTATTTGTAAAATCCACAAAGAATCTGCTGCAACTGGTTCACTGTCTTGGTTACAATGCCAATATAATAGGCGTGGCTGGTGGGCTTGATTTCAAGAATAATGTGGCCAAAACTTGCTTCGCGATAGCTGAGTAGCTCGGCTGTGGTTCTGAAAGAACTGCAGAAACAAAACCAGACAAACTGCCATCTGAAACTAATTTGGGTACTTCATGATTGTGGAATATTGCATATGGAACTTCTGCGTGGAAAGTTTTTTTCATTGCATTAATGTTAGTCTTGTTAAAACCTCTAATTTGGTTTAAAGGATAAAATTAATTACTACAAGTTAGGAATGAAGTGGGCCTGAATGTAGAGGAATGGATATAGAAGATTCATAAATATATAGTCTGATTCCTTGGGGTTGAGTTGTAGTTGATTGATTGGTTAATGTTAGTTAGCTCTTCTCCATCTACCCTACCTAAAGATATTTATCCGTGTGGAATATTGCAGATGGGATTTTTTGCTGAAGCAGGGCCTGTGCAGATTTTTGTCTCAAATCATGTGAGTTTGTTCTCCATTTTTTAATATTTAATCCAGCATGTGTTATTCCCATACATGCTCGACATTTTCTTAGTGTGGCATATTACAAGCTCATTCTGCTATATGTATGATTGCATGGGTCAATTTGAAATATGGAAATTTAATATGATAATGAAATGTACTGATTAGAAATATATTAATGAAATGTCTTTTGCATGCATTTTCTATTGTAAAAGCATGAATATCAACGTTTTTTTAGAAAGGTAGTTATTGATTCTTCAAAGGTATTTTTGTTCAATCTTCATACATGTCTCTACATTTTCTTTTTGTGTTTATTTTCCCTTGATTTTGGAAACCCCTTTGATGATGCAAACCCTTAATGGATTGGTTGGAACTGGAGGCTCCCATCACTACAACAAACCTTGATATATCAAACTTATTCTGTTTTCTAATGTGTTAATTCCAATAAAAGAATGAAGAAGGAATCTAGAATTCGAAGAAGGGTAGTCTCTCATATGATATTACCTTTAGCTTAATTTGAATATCTAGTTTAAGATTATCTATGTAACTGCTAAGTAGTCTATAGTGTTTTTGTGTGTGTGTGTATATATAGATATATACTAACACATATACATTTCTCGTGTTTATTCTCAGTTACATCATTTGTACTTGCTACATAAGTACTCTGCCAAATCTAAATAGTCCTTGATAGTTATTCTTAGGATCAAATTTTTCATGGGACTCATGTTAGACCCTTTTATAATTAATCTGTATTGAGTTTGTCACCTTAAGTGAATTTCATTGGTGCCTAGATTATTTAGGTGGTGTACGCATGTCACTAGTGGTGGTGGGAATTCCGGCGGAGGTAAAAGGATGTGGCCTAGTGGTTAACTAAGTGGATACAGACCTTTGAAACAAGAGTTCAAATCCACACAGACAAAAAATCTGCAAAAAACAATTGAATGATTTCTTCTTATCTGCCTATGCCTTAGTGGGAAGAGTTACCCTATAACTCTGCTGGTGGGAGGTAGAAGGTACCTGGTGGAATAGTGGGGGTGAGCATAGGCTGGTCTACACACCATTGTCATCAAGAAAAAAGGTGGTGGGAAAACCCTTCGGGGTGGCCCAGTGGTTTGGGCTTGGGATTTCCATGTTGGAGGTCTCAAGGTCGAAACCCCTTGCCAGCGAAAGCAAGGGGTTTGCCTTCTGTGTCGAGCTCGTCGCACCGGGCTTGCCTAATGTGGGTTACTTCTCCTATGTGGTTTGTGAGTTATTGCATAGGAGCGGGGGTTTTACCCTGTGCGCACCCAAAGGGTAGCGGCTGCGGGTTTCCCTTGTCATAAAAAAAAAAAGGGTGGTGGGAAAATGTGAGCATATAGTGGGGATATTTATAGTCGTAGAATACATTCGTGCTACATACTGAGTTTACAAACCACAAAGAGAAGGAAGTAGATCTCATGCAGTCAAGTGTGGCTTGATACTATTGTATAGTAGATGACAGAATTGAGGATGCCAGCTTTCTAACCAATTTTAATCCAATCTGTCTCATTTGTTTATTTCTTTTTGCCAGATAAGAAAATCAGCTTATTGGCACAATGGAGAAATCCGTGTGCCAGATAAAAACTATACAACATGAACAACTGCTATGCAAAAAGATAGTTTCACCCTTTCTATACTTTTGCATTTACTTCTTGGATAACTTGCCCATCTATCTTAGATATCACCCAATTCATGCCTAGCAGATTGATAGCATCAGATCTTTATTCTGCTGCTAGATTGCCATCAAGTGCGAGGTGGTCTACCACCTCCAATGCTTCCTAGCAAAATAAAGCCGCCAGTTGATATAGATCTTTGTGAAGATTGAAAAGGCCCATTTGATCCTTTAAGCGGCATAGTGGCACCCTTGCCTAGTGCCATTTTGATCCATTTCTCATCATAGAAGGCGCCGGCGCGCCACAAGGCAAACTCATCTGTATTTGAATTTGAGGAGAAATTCTTCTCCACTGTTAAAGGAGTTCTATTACGCTGTTCTCCAAAATTGTAGGTCCACTAGATTGGCTTAGTATCCATTCATCAAAGATGCTTTTGTGACCCAAATAGCATTCTAATGGAACTCTCTCCCTCCAACTATAAGTGGATTGAGGTAAAGGACTTAACAAAGAAGTTGACAAAGGAAGTATTGTTTAGTTTGCAATATCACTTTGGTAACTTTGGATATATCATTAAAATGTGCTTTGTCTACTAGTTTAAAATTTTAGATGAGGTGGTCACATAATTTAATAAGGTATCAAGCCAAGCCTCATCCTTGTCTTGGAAACTCTTGGGTTCCCTGACCAAAATATCCAAATAAAAAGCTTAAGAACTCCCAGACTGTGCTATCAAGCACTCCATTTGATGCATATAAAAATTTCTTATTTCTTCTTACAAGACATAAAGCCTCTATGCATGCAAAAGCTTATATAGGCCTTTTTCTCACATCTGTTTATGTTTGACCCTTGGATTTCCAACAGTTGATACCTGATGACATGGAGTTTCAGTCGGGGGATGTGCCAAATTATACAACTTCAGATGGTTCGGTATGCCATTTGTTTGCTTTCCTTACTTTTATCTCTTCTTTTGAAAAAAATTCAGCTTGTAGATGTGATTCAGTTTCATTTATTCATCTTTTGTAGGTTAAAATTCAGAAGGAAAGTGAAGTTAGATTGAAGATTATTGGAACACGTGTTGATGCCACAGAAATTGTATGTCAGCAACTCTCCTTTTTATTTTGTGAATTTTCCTAAAAACTTTGAGTTGATGTGCTTAAATTTTGATAACATTTTCTCACTATGTACAAACTACAAAATGTGCCCACATTAGGTAACGAGAGCCAATTTCTCCCTTTGATTTCAATAAATAGATGTTTCAGTCATTTGCATCCTCCTTTCTAGTAAGTTGTCTTTGTGAAGATCTGTGGGCGGGTTGAGCTCAATTTGGGCAGGTCAAAAGCTACTTGGGCTGGGCCGAAATGTTGGTCATAACCCAACCCATCCAATTCTTACTAAGTTTTAATATAGAGTCGGGAGCCTAAAGGGCAACATTTTGTTGCAAAAATGCCAAAAGGGCAACTGAAAAATGGAACAAACCAAAAGGGCAAAGGCGCAAGGCCCCCCACGCCGCCTTGCTCCTTGTCCCGTTAATGCTGTCTAACAGAGGTTAAGGGTAAGGCGCACGATTAAGAAAGGTAGGAAGAGAAATAGACCATAGGTACTGCAACCTTTTAATCAAGGATATACAAGCACAGTCCCAAAGAGAGTTTCAAGCAAAACTAAGAACTCCAAGATTTTT